AGATTCTTCTAATAAAGAAGTAGCAAGAATATGGATAAACGACATGAAAATGAGTTTTTCTCCAACCATGGTGAGTTTCAGAAAGTAGAGTCTATGTTTTTGTGTGGTATGAAAGTATACTGACTAAAAGTACTCTCAAACAACCCTTAGAAAAGTTTTTTTGTGTGGACGAGCTACTCGGCTATATAAATTAGGGGTAAGCATTAAACTTCACTAGAATAGACTAATACATACTAAACAGATGGTAGAATTTGTATGTTCAGTAGTCTGTGGTGGTTATATGCATTGCTGATATTTTTTTATTCTGAGACTCAATGATCTAGAAAATACGAAAACAAACCAAAAATATTTGATAATTGTTCATTTTAGGATAAAGCCTAAAATGTCATGGTCTAGTTATGAATTATAATATGATACACTAAATGATTTTCCGTAAGTTTGGGGAATGATATGTTTATTTGATTGATCAGTGCATTTATTTAAGGACCTCTGTGTAGGGAGTTTCTACAAGAAATACATTACATGATTCCCATCTTAGTGAACATAACATTTAACAACCCCATGAATTAAGTAGTTAATGAGTGAGGTACATCAAAAGTACAGTCAGCTGCTTTGTCAGTGATAGCAAACATTGATCTAGGGATGGATAGATGAGTGGACAGGCTGAATGATTAGGTATATCTGTGCAGGGGGGAGTGTGCCCATGATCATGTATAAGGTTGATGGACAGTGTTTCTTCAAGTGTATTTTTATGTTCTGTAAGAATTTCCAGGTATATAGTAGAGCTGACAAGGGACAAGATTGTAGTCACTTCTAGGCCATAGCCAGCTACCCAGAGGACTTGTGGGCTTGGGACCGTGGTCACAGGGGATATCACGCTCAATTGGCATAACATACTACACAAAAACATTGTTTCACATCCTACTTTGATGAGTAGTGACTAGGATCTTAAAAGCTTGCGAGCGGCCATCTAGATGCAACCATGGGTTTCTCCTTGTCCATACCAGAGAAGAATGAAGAAAACCAAAGGTTCACGGAAATAATTAGTCCAAGTGACTGGTACACCATGCGATCCTCAGCCTACATTACTGTGAGACCAGAAGAACTAGATGGTGCCTGGCTGCCACTGTCGTCCACTTAGAGGGGGATCTATGTAGGAGATCCTGAATAGAGTGGGAGAGCAATGTGGAACAAAACTCAAAATCTTGAAAAACAAAAGACCAGGTTTGCTGGTCTGATCAAACCTGGTGCAACCCCCTGAGACTGTGGTCCCTAGCTGCCTACTCCTGTGGCTTCCAGCCAAACAAAAGACGGGCATATGAGCTGAACACTTATGTCAGGTAGATACACTTCTTGGAGAGATCAGTCATGGGAGAATAGAAGGGCTGTGTATGCACAGGGAGACAGCTCGGGGGGTAGGAGTGCATGGAAGGGAAGGACACAGGGAAGAGGTGGCTGTGGGGAGGAGGTGGGAGGGGAGCTGTTGCATTGTGGGAGATTGCAGTCAATTCATGAGACAAAATGTATGTGAACTGCTTTATGGAAGATGAATTTGCTCTGTAAACTTTCACTCAAATCACAATAAAATTTTTTTTTAAAAAGTACAGTCAACTGCTTATGATAAGAGTTACAAATTGAAGGAAGCTGAGTTCTCTGTGAACCAGAATAGCCTGGTTTTATGGTGGTGTACTGGAGCTTGGGTTTTGCATATGGACAGAATTTGAGATACGGGCAAAGAAGGTGACTGTGCTTAGGATGACAATAGCCAGAATACTTGGCTTGGGGAAAAAAGTTGGAATGATAGATTTTGGCTCCATAGAGGTGTTGGAGTTGAGTATTAGGAACTTTGGACTTGTTGTGGTATCTGTGAAGAGTCCTGGGATCTGTTAGAGATTTGGGATGGGTGGCATGGTGGAAGAGAGACAGGCTTAGAAGTTGGCTAATAAATAGTCCAGAAAGGGAGTGGTAAGGGAACTCTGGTAGCATAGTGCCTAAGGCACTTGACTGCTAACCAGGAGGCTAGCGGTTCAAACTCACTCGCCACTCCTCGGAAGGAAGGTTGGGCAATCTACATCCGTAGTGATACTGCCTCGGAAACCCAAGGAGGGGTCGCTATGAGTCAGATCCAACTCAACGGCACATGACAACAACAACAACAAAGGGGTTAAACTTGGGTGGTTGTGAAGAGGATTGGAAAAGATGAGGGGAAGGAAAAGAAGGAAATAAGAGTGACTGCACAGACCATAAGGAGCTCTGATAGCACAGCGCCTAAGCCATCTGACTGCTAACCAGAAGGTTGGTGGTTCTAACCCACCAGGCACTTGGCAGAAGCAAGACTGGGTGTGGTGGTTGTGTTTGTGTGTCAACTTGGCTGGGCCTGGTTGAGTGGCTGGGCAGCTGGTGGTAGTTATTCCCTGTGATGAGACTGGCAATCAGCTCCATGGTGGGATCTACCACAAGCAGCTGAGTAGCTGCTTTTGGGATGTGGGATGTGGTCTGCTTCCTGTATATAGGGAATGGGAATGGTCTCTAGCTTATGGCCTTAGAGACGGCCTTGGGAATAATCTCTAGCTTATGGCATGCTTGGACGCTGCATGTAGCCATGTCATTGTTCAGCAGCCTGCCATGCTCTACTAACCTGGGGACTTACAATGGACTTAAATTAATGGACTGTGCCTTTTTACTTGTCAACCTTGGGCTTGGCAGCCTCAGCAGCTGGCAGCTGTCTGAGTGAAGAAATGCCTCTAGCTCCAGTGGGCTGGGAGCTGGACCTCAAGACTAAAGGGCTTTCACCCAGCCCCTAGAGCCTGGCACTTTGAACTTGGACTTAAAGGCTCCAAATTGTAAGAATAAACTCATGTTTGTTAAGGCCGTATCATTTGAGGTATATTCCTGTCAGAATGGCACTAGATAACCAGAACACTGGGCGATCTACTTCTGTAAAGATTTACTGCCTTAGAAACCAGTGGGGGCTACCATGAGTTGGTGTCGACTCGATGGCAGTGGGTTTGGCACAGACTATGCCTAAGGCTTGCTTGGACATGGAGCTGGAGGGGGAACTTTTTGAGCAGGGAGAACATCCTGTATCTGAAGTCAGAAGTGGGGATCAGGAGAGCCAGTTTTGGCCGTGCCCAACTGACTTCATGTCCTCAGAGCTTATTTGGGGGTTGAGTGTTTGGAAACATACGAATGCATTTTTCTTCAAGTAAGGTTACAGTACTCATCTTCCTAGTTTAGCCCATAAAACAGTCAAACACAGTATGCCTGAAGTTCTCTATTGTCCTAGCTGTTCAGAAACAGCTGGCAGAAATTGATAATTGGCACCATGTGGGCCAAAACCAGGTGAGAGATCTAAGTTTTGATTTTGCTCATGCATAAAAGTCTTGATTTCCAAGTTCTTTGGGGCCTCCGTTCCCCACCTAGTAAAATGTGCCTAGAGTTGAGGAGTGACCGTTTGAGGTTCAGGCATGTGATAGCATTTATCATAGCCCCTGCTTCAGTGTCTCCTAAGGTTTCGTGTCAATTGCCATTTTATATCGAGCTGTCTTACTCATTCAGAAATATTACCTGTGTGGTTTCCAGATCGTGGGACCCTTCAGTGTTACCAGTGTTACCTCCAGGTAGGCCCCTGGTGATTTTGCTGTAGTATGGGAAGGGGCAGGAAGGGCCAAGGGAGAAAGGAGGAGGTGAGGTATTTCAGCATAGCGTTCCTGTTGTTGAAGTGGACGAGGAGGGCAGTGGGAGAAATGGGACTAATGATCTGGGCCCTTTGCCCTAGGCTGCACAGTTAAGTAGTGGCTGAATTGGGATTTAGATCTGCTTCTTTGGCCAGTCCCATTTTGTCCCGAGTTTCTGAAGTTGAGGTCTCATTTTGGCATAATTCTGAGAACATGTAAGATTTTTCCTGAGGACTTCGTGGGTTGATGTGGCTTGGAAGTTTATCCCCAGCCTCTCTTTTCCTTTCCCCGTTAATGGAGCGTCTGTGTGGCCACGTTCTCTCTAGACTCTGAGGGGAACCAGAGGAACGCTGAGCCCTGATTGCCCAGTGCCGTCTTCCCCGTATCCTTCCTTCTTTAACGGAATGTGCTTCCTGGTGTCTTCTCTCGACGCTTCTGTGGAGAAGACCATGTCAGTCGAGCTCTTCTAATGGTTCTGGTGTTGGAGCAAGGCCCGTTGAAGGTCTTCTCTCAGTTTATAAATAGTATTTCACCCTACTTACAAAGTGTAAACCCTTTTAAGAGTCTGTGAGAGACACAGGGGAGCATAAGAATATATGGTGGTCGCTCACCTGGTTTGTCTGGGATGGTCTGGATTTACTCCTGTTTTTTTGATGCAGTTATCAGTAGCTCCAAATTTTATTCTCAGCTGTACTGAGGTATGGAGAATAAATTACATGGCTCTCCTATGTGTGATTTGTTGTATCTGTGAAATCCCAGACGTCTGAAGTACATTCTTGTCGTTCAGAAGAACTTTCAACCTCCGGAGTCTTTTGGTGGTGGTTTGGGCTTTAGGATCTTAGGGAAAGAAGATGGGTAGGGAAGTGACCTGAGAGGAGGAAGGAGATGAGAGACTTAAATGGAGGCCTGCCATGAGCGTGAGTTGTAGGGTATGCTGATGAGGGTAACTTACCTTCTCTCCCTGTGCCTCCTGCTTTTTGTAGTCTGGGAGTTGGCATGAAAGGTGAGGGCTGATGTTGGAAGCAGTTTGAGTATAAGAGAGGGCAGTGAGCAGTATCTAAGGGAACAGTAGTAGTTGGAGCTGGTGGTGGCTGGAAGGAAGGTGGAGCCTTGGGTGCCCCGTTGCACGTCAGAGGTGACAGTAGGTCATGGAGTCTGTGAGCTCACCCTGGACAGAGGAGGGCCACACGTGTGACCCAGATCGTAGGGGATGGTGAAGTGGTGGTACGTCGTGCTTCCCAGTCCTTAGCTGGTGGTTCCTGGCCTTGGGCTGGGCCTCTAGCCTCTGGAGCTTGGATTAACTGTGCTCTTTCTGTGTTGTAGAAGGTCCCTGTTGTGAAAGAGGAAGACGAACCGGAGGAAGAAGATGAAGAAGAAATGGGTCACGCAGAAACCTATGCAGAGTATATGCCAATAAAATGTATGTCTTTGGGAGTTGTCATAGTAATGAGACTTGTGGGTTCCTCTTGGGCTCACAGAGGTCCCCCCCCTCCACACACACATATACTGTTTTGTGTTAGGACCTGCCTGTGTTGGGTCCCTGAGGGTTTGACATGGATGATTTTTTTCATCTATGGATGAAATATTTTTTTAACTAATATGTTTTTAAATATTTACGTGAAAGTTTTGCTCTTTTCTTTTTTTCTATACAAATTTAGAACTTTGTTTAGCTTTAAGTTGAAGCTTTTTAAAACAGACTAAACAGCTTGAGTTTTGTTCTGTTTTGAGTTAATTTTTGCTCAGATGAGAAATGATTATAAAAACATAGCAAATTGTAGAAATGTAAATAACGTATCTTAGCTTGATATACTTTATACAGCTTATCTAAAATAAATCACAAAAACATTGGAATCTTTAAAATAGCTTGTGCTAAATGGAGTCACTGTTTTTCATTAACGCTTATTTCTGTCTTTTGCATAAGCACCATGATTTGTTATTTTTAGTTGCCACCATATGAAGTTGAAAATTAATAGTTTTTAATTTCACTTTTTCATTATATGGGAGCCATGAGATTAAACAAATCTATGCCTAGAATTTGTCTTTTATATACACTGGATTTCTATCAGAAGGCACTAATAGTAAGTAGCATTTAAGTTACACTAAAATCCTTGTTTACCAGCTGTGTATGGACCTGAGGATCCCATGCTCTCCTGGTCCTTTAAAATGAGCTGTAGGATGTGGTGTCTGGAGTTTTACAGCCCTCTTGTGCCACCTCCACCCCCTGCAATGGTTTTCATAAAACAATTGAGTTTATCCACAGCCCTTTAAACCAAAGGTCAGCAAACTAAATCCACCCCACTGCCAATTTTAGAAATAAAGTTTTATTGAAACACAGCTGTACCTGTTCTCTTATTGTCTGTGGCTGCTTTTATGTTTTAACAGCAATTGTGCAAGAGACTGGATGGCCCACAGAACTGAAAATATTTACTGTCTGACCTTTTATAGAAAAGTTGGCCTATCCATTTTCAGCTGTTCACATCGTGAAATATACAGGGAGTTGGTGGCTATTTTAGTTTTATAGCCAAGGTTTTCTTTCAGATACTTTTCAAGGTAAAAATACCCATACCACATATTTTGTTTTACCAAATGAAATGAACGATTCATTCGAGTAAGTCCTTTCTCTAGGACTGTGATCATTGGAGGATCTGGTGATGGGAATTAAGTTGGTATTTTTCTAGGTCTTTTAAATTCAGCAAGTCTGTTTAAACGATACATAAGTGATAAATAGATCTCTTAGTGAAGTTTAAGTAATACTTTATCATTAGTGACTTTTTATAGCAGCCCAGAGGATTTAGTTACTTACTCAATTGCTCTATTTTTTTTGTCATAGGGAAAATGTAGTAACTTATAATAAAAGTGGGGAAGTTATTATTTAGAGGAATTAACACTAAATACTTCTTTATTTTCCTTTAGTAAAAATTGGCCTACGTCACCCAGATGCTGTGGTGGAAACTAGCTCTTTATCCAGTGTTACTCCTCCCGATGTTTGGTATAGAACATCCATTTCTGAAGAAACTATTGATCATGGCTGGTTATCTGCATTACAACTTGAGGCAATTACCTATGCTGCCCAGGTAAGCATACATACATACAATCTTTATCTTTTCTCTCTGAGTCCCTATAGTATAGTTGTTGAAATCCAAAGGTGAGTTTCTTTGCATGAAAAATTTGTGGAAAGTAAGTTTCCTAGGAATTTTATGTGTTAAAACAGGATAGCCTGGTTGTGGGAACTGCATTCCTAGTAAAATGACAAGTGTCACCATCCTTTTGGAATCACTGGGAGTGTCTACTTCTATTCATGAGGTCTAGTTCATAAAATTATATAAGGACATCTATATATATGGGGATTTGTTGAAGGTTTTCTTCCCAGTGGCTAAAAACTAAAGAAGATTTGAGTGCCCACATTACTGGGGATTTGATTGAAGAGGTTCTGTTACTGCCATAATATTGTGCAGTCTTTCAAACAATGTAAGAGAAAGCCATTATCAGTTGTCCTGAAAAAATTTCTGTCATACTCTTGATTTTGTTAAAACAACTAATGACCAACCAGCCAGCCTCCCCCTATGTGATGTGAAAGTTTGTGTTTGTCATGGTGAAAGTGATTAATTAGGGTGGCTGAACTGTACCCTTCAGAGTGGTTGAAATGGCATATCAAGCTGTGTATTTTACACAATTAAATTTTTTTTTTTACCCCCATCGTACCAGTGCCAAAAAGGGTATGAAAGAATGCTCATTAATTTGCTAACTTACTTGGGGTGTGTTAAGGTAAGCAAGAAAGAATATAGAAAAAAGAGAAAACCCAAACTATATGTCCGTTGATAGAAAAGCAGAAAATGTTAACATACTCCTAAATGCATGAAAGGCTTATCACCAAACCCTCTGAAAGACTGACTACTAGCTTTTTCTTTTTCAGCAACATGAAACATTCCTACCGAATGGTGATCGAGCTGGCTTCTTAATAGGTGATGGAGCAGGTGTAGGCAAAGGGAGGACAATTGCGGGCATCATCTATGAGAACTACCTGTTGAGTAGGAAAAGAGCATTGTGGTGAGTGTTAGAGACTGGCCTTAGATGCTTTCCTTTCTGAATTACCACTTCCGCACGTGGGGATGCATTTTAATGAGTTGGTGAGGGTTTTTTGAAGTGTCGAGATTTGGCTTTGTTCCCAAATTCTGTTAGAATGATGGAATTTGCGTTAATTTTTTTTTTTTTTTTTTTTGTGGCAGGTTCAGTGTTTCAAATGATTTAAAGTATGATGCGGAAAGAGATTTGAGAGATATTGGAGCAAAAAACATTTTAGTCCATTCATTGAATAAGGTATGGAAACTCTTTCTTCAGTTGGTCATTCAGTGAATATTGACTTCTCTGTGAGATGGAAATAATGGTGGTTTTTACCTCATAGAGTTGTTGGGAGTGAGAAGTCAATGAATTATTCCACAGAAACCAGAGTGTGGTGGTGTTGTCGCCGTGTGGATCCACCATGTCCCAACTGTGGCACCAGGCAGTGGTTATGTAGCAGTGCACAGAATAGGCATGGTCCCTGTTGTTCGTGGAGTTTATTCTCTCCATCGTCAGCATTAGTTTTGTTTTTGCCTCGGAGGTAAATGGTAAAACTCTTTGTTAAATTGAGCAGTGTAGGTAGAAAGGGTGCGTGTCATAAAGCTGTATGGACAGGCTGCGTGCCTCTCAGTGAAGGTCACCTGGAGTCCTGTGCAGCACATAGACAGTTGAGTTGTGATTTGGAGACTAGTTTAGATGTTTCTACGTACTGTGGGTGTGGACCAGTAGCTGTGTTTGTGTCCAGCATCCTGTAAAGTTGAAGTTGATACATGTTATTGTCTACAACACAGTTTCATGTGATTAGAACTTTGATTATTGACCCATTAGGCATCCGTTCCTGGGGTGGTAAGGGGGGAATACACAGCCGGATTCCCTACGGGGGCCTTCCTGTGGGCCCTTTCCCACTAAGTGAGGATCTGTTTTCCATGTGGAGCCTGGGTTGGTTCAGTTGTGCTGACTCTTTGGGGAGGTACTGCCAAGTGGATTGGTAGTGACAGTACGTTTCTTGAATGATGACAAATAGTACAAAAATTAAGAACATAGAATTGGCGTCTAGAAATGTTTTGATTCTTGAGCCAATGTAATTGAAGGAAAATATTTGTAGATAGACTGTTGTGATTTTATTTTATTTATAGCTGAGTTTCTGTCTGGTTTTTTAATCCTTTTTTGGGTAATAGACTTTTTTGAGACATTGATGAAAACTGGATCCTTGTATCATACATTTGCATATATATATGATGTTAGAAATTTTATGTATTATTTTTGAAAGTCCTTTGAAAAGTTCTCTGAAGCCTGTCACAGACCAACCAGGTTAAGAATTCTTGATATAGACTTTTTCCTGCTGTAGTAGAAATGTTTTAGAGTAAAAGGTGTGCTTGTTAAATTCTTCTATTTTCCTTTTCAGTTCAAATATGGAAAAATTTCCTCCAAACATAATGGCAGTGTGAAAAAGGGTGTTATATTTGCTACATATTCTTCCCTTATTGGGGAAAGTCAGTCTGGTGGTAAATATAAAACTAGATTAAAACAACTTCTACATTGGTGTGGCGATGACTTCGATGGAGTGGTATCCTTTGCAACAGATATTTTTATATTAATGATATAAAAGTTATTTGAGGATAAACATTTAGAAAGCAGAAATCCTGAAATTAAGTAAACAGATCCCTTGGGTGAGAGTTTTAATTATTGCAGAGATTCCAGGGGAGTGTGGAAGTTGATCTTATCTTGTGGCTATCATATAAAAACCAAAACCTGTTGCTTTTGTGTTGACTGACTTAGTGACCCTATAGGACAGGGTAGAACTGCCTCATAGGGTTTCTACAGCTATAATCTTTAGGGAAGCAGACTGCCATATCTTTCTCCTGGGGAGGGGCTGGTGGGTTCCAACTGCCAACCTTCAGTTTGCAGCCAAGCATTTAACCACTGTACATCAGGGTTCGTTAGTGCCTATTGGAGGCCAGTATTTACGTTTCTGGTTTCAGAAAAATGTGAATGCATGTGGAAAATGCTGGATACTAAAGTCCCCTCTTGAAGATCCAAACTGCACATTTTATAGTAAAATACTTGAAAAGACCAAGGGAAAGAAAACTGCTGCTTTTGCAGTTCCCAGATGTCCTGCTCACAGCTTAATCCATTGTTGTCCACTGCTCTGTATAAGGAACACCAGTATTTTTGTGCCTCCTCTGCAGGATTTGCCAAAATTATCCCCTGTGGTGGACCATTCCTGTGGCAATGGCAAGAGCCCTTTACTCCCTTCCAACTAAGAATTAAATAACTGGTGAAGAGACCTCTAAAGTTAGTTGATACTCTGAGATGGGAGCAGCGTGGGGTTGAAGCCAAGGAGAGGCCCCTAGGGGACCTCATTGCTGTTTGTTTTGTTTAATGACAAAAGGACCTGAGGCGAATCCAGCCAAATGTCAGGGTTTGACGAAGCTGGGGGTAGGGATGCAGATGTTGCTGTAACCAGTCGATGCTCAGGGATTTGTTGCCAGCCACAACCCCTCTCCCCAGTAAGTTTGGATATTCCCCCAAGGCCACCTCTCCACAAACCTGGGATGTCTCCAAGGCCCCCCAGGAAATAACAGTGAATGCTTCCTAAAGAACGGGCCATACTTGCTACAAATGTGAGATGTTCCTTAATTCACTTCTTAACAGATCGTGTTTGACGAATGTCATAAAGCAAAAAACTTGTGTCCTGTTGGTTCTTCAAAGCCAACTAAGACAGGCTTGGCGGTTTTAGAGCTTCAGAACAAGTTGCCAAAAGCCAGGGTGGTTTATGCGAGCGCCACTGGTGAGTAGTTACTTATCTGTCAGAGACAGCTGGAGGTTATTTTTTCAGCCATAATGTGTTTCCTTCTGGAATTTTTCAGGTGCTTCTGAACCACGCAACATGGCCTATATGAACCGTCTTGGAATATGGGGTGAGGGAACTCCATTTCGAGAATTCAGTGATTTTATTCAGGCAGTTGAGCGAAGGTAATGCAGTTCCCGGTCCTCAGTTCGTGCTCAGTGGCAGTCTGAAAGATGCTGTCACTAACCCCCCTTTCCTGTATGCTGAAGTCCTACGATATTTAATGATTGTCACTGTGTGTTTTAACTTTCTTCAGAGGTGTTGGTGCTATGGAAATAGTTGCTATGGATATGAAGCTTAGAGGGATGTACATTGCTCGACAGCTGAGCTTTACTGGAGTGACCTTCAAAATCGAGGAAGTTCTTCTTTCTCAGAGCTATGTAAAGATGTACAACAAAGCAGTCAAGCTGGTGAGAAGGCTTTTCTGAATTCCTAGGATTTTTAATGCACCAATCACATCTGTTAGTCTGTTTTATCCAATGGGATGTCTCTGAGTCCTTCACGGTGTATTTCTGCCTTTTATAACCCCCGCTTATGGGCTCATAGGTTGTTAGATCACCCTTCAGTACTTTGAATGCAGTTTTCCAAGTTTTCATTTTGTTAAAGTATTTATTTTTAAAAAAGCCATTTATTCATTTATTTCAACTGTATAATTCTTAAGGTCATAATGGAACTCTCCAAAAAAAAAAAAAAAAACTCACTGTCATCAAGTCGAGTCGATTCAACTCATAGTCACCCCTCCTTGGGTTTCCGAGGCAGTATCTCTACAGAAGTAGGTTGCTCAACCTTCCTTCTTACGAGTGGCTGGTGGGTTTGAATGGCCAGCCTTCTGGTTAGTAGTCAAATGCCTTAGGTACTGCACCACCAGAGCTCCCCATAATGAAATTATATTTCTTAAAAAGGCTAAATTAGTTAATAACAACTATGAGGGTAATACTTTTAGGTAAGCATTTCAAAATCGATTGTTTAGAGATTCCCAAGTTACTGAACATGGCTCATTAATGTTACAGCGTCTTGCACTTGATGATGCTATTTTGGTTGAATTGGTCATTTTTCACTAGCTCCCACTCAGATGAAATATGTAAAGTGTTGATTTTTCATCTTCAGTGGGTGATTGCAAGAGAGAGATTTCAGCAAGCCGCAGACCTGATTGATGCGGAGCAGAGGATGAAGAAGTCCATGTGGGGCCAGTTCTGGTCTGCGCACCAGAGGTTTTTCAAATACTTGTGCATAGCATCCAAGGTTAAAAGGGTTGTACAGCTGGCTAGAGAAGAAATCAAGAATGGAAAAGTGAGTTTGTCAGCATGTTAATAGATTCATTCTTAGGTTATATTGTTTGTACTATGTGGGCAATGAGGTTTTCTACTTGGAAGGTCTTGGCATTCAAAAGGATAGCTGTAAAAGATTAATGTAAAAAGACTGAAAAAAATACAGTTTAAGAAATGTAAAGCAAAGCCCATTTCTCTATGGAGAATTTAAATAACTCAAAACAGTGTGAAGAGATAAACATCACTAAATCTTTGCACTCATAGATGGAATCACTGATGCCACGTGGGAATGCGTTATACTTAGTTTCTCTCCTTTTTGGTGACTGTAAGCTACTTAAAAAACAAAACCAGAAAAACACCAAACCCACTGCCAGCGAGTTGATTCCAACTCATAGCAACCCCTGTTGGTTTTCCCAGGTGGTAAATCTTTACAGAAGTAGATTGCCCTGTCTTCCTTCTGCTGAGTGGCTGGTGGGTTTTGAACCACCAGCCTGGTTAGCAGTCAAATGCCTTAGGCGCTACACCTGCCAACCTCCTTAAAACACAAAGGACTGTAAGCTGCCTATGGCTGCAGTCTTGTTCAGTGCCCTCATTCTTCTTCCTGAGTCCTTGATTCTTCGAATATTCATAGAACAAATCAATGAGCACACGTATGCTTTATGATAGTGGCGTCATTCGTGTTTGAAATCTGTTGCTTTTTGTTATTAAATATTTAGAATAGTCTCAGTAAGAAACCATAAGTAGATTTTATTTATGATTGATGTGTCTTCTCGTTTTCTGCAGTGTGTGGTAATCGGCCTGCAGTCTACAGGAGAAGCTCGGACTTTAGAAGCCTTGGAAGAGGGCGGGGGAGAACTGAATGATTTTGTTTCAACTGCCAAGTAATGTGTTTTGCTTTTCTTTCTGAGATTTTACTTTGATTAATTCAATTGTTGATGTTGTCTGGAGGCAAACATTTTGATGGGCCTAAAGGACCTTCTGAAGTTGTATTGATCTCCTTCGTTTTATACCAGTCCTTTCCCACGTGCAGCTTCTTTTGCTGGAAAACTGAGAAGTCTCATGGTCCTCGGTTTATTAAGCATGGGCTTGGTTGTGGTTGTCATGGTCACCTTACAAGAAAGTTCGGTTTCAGTGTGTCACGTGGCATTGTGAGTTTATGCTGCTTCTAAACTCACCACCATCCACGAGAGTGAAAATGATCATCTGCCCAGGCTATCAGAAGGGCTAATGCAAACGTGGGAAATATTCATGAGATGCTGGAAAAGTTTTAAAGGATTTTAGGCCGTTTTGTCAAGTGTTTGCCTAACCTTTCAACTCTAATTTTGGTAGTAGAATTAGCAAAATAATCTTTGTACTATTGCATGCCTCAGGGTGAGCATTTTAAATAGCTCCTTTTCAGATGGATGTAATTGAAAACTACTTTGAAAAGCAAAATGTACACCTTGCTAATCTGTATTTCTCTGTACTGAAGTGCCTACAACTGCACCGTCCAGTAGTAGTAGCCACTAGTTATGTGTGTGTGTTGACCAGTTGAAATGGAAGTCCAAACTGAGATGTACTGGGAGTGTCAGATACATACTAGGTTTCAAAGACTTCATGTGACAAAAATAATGTAAAACATCTTATTGATTACATGTTAAAGTGATAGATTGAGATAGAGAAAACATATGACTGAAATTACCTTCACTTTTTTCATTTTTGCTTTTTAATGTAGCCACTACAGAATGTGAAAATTGTATATGTGGCTTATACGATTTCTATTGGACAAGCATGGCCTAGAAAAAGAAAATTCATTTTGTAAGATAGAACAAAGAATTTAATAGAACACTCCTAGTTTATGTTTAAGGAATTTTTTCGTTAAGGTGCCACAATAAAACCTTCTGCAAACCAGACTGCTAATTGTCACTATTTCTCCTACTTCCAGAGGAGTGCTGCAGTCACTCATTGAAAAGCACTTCCCTGCTCCAGACAGGAAAAAACTTTATAGTTTGCTAGGAATCGATTTGACAGCTCCAAGTAACAACAGTTCACCGAGAGACAGTCCTTGTAAAGAAAATAAAGTAAAGAAGCGGAAAGGTGGGTGGCTTCTTCAAATAGTTGGTATTAAAATCCCTAGAATCTGAGCCGTTTTTCGGTAGCTGTTTGAGGAATGGACTGCTCTCTTTGAAATGGCAAGTTGCTGAGTGTGTTTGCTGTCATGTAACTTTGCATCAGTAAAGCCCTGTTTCAGTTAGGGCTCGAATGATTGGTGCTGGGAACTGCATTAAGCATTTGCCATATTTTAGCTCATTTCAACCACCATATTGCTATTATCTTATTACATTCAACATTATGTAAGTAAATTATTAGGAGTACATTGTTCACTGTGCCCATTAGTGTAAAAAATGTAAACATGGATTTGTGTTTAGATGCTTGTTAAGCTGATGTTCAAGTTATTTTCTTAGATTGTCTAAAACAGTAATCATGCATATTGTTGTTGTTGTTCTTATGTGCCGTCAAGTTGGCCCTGACTCAGCGACCCCTCCTTGGGTTTCCAAGGCAGTATCACTACGGGAGTAGATTGCCCAACCTTCCTTCCGAGGAGTGGCTGGTGGGTTTGAACCACCAACCCTCTGGTTAGAAGTCAAGTGCCTTAGGCACTCTGCTACCAGAGCTCCTGATCATGTGTATTAGGTTGCATATATTAACTGGCTGCTGTGTATCAAGTTTCACAGTGCCTGACGCTCTGACCTCATTTTATCCATTCTGTGTAAGGTGTACCTAATTTCACATTTTAGTGTATCTGGAATGGGTTGCTATCATCATCTAATTGGCAGTGCTTTTATTTCAGTGGTGTAATAAATAACACACCTGTGAATCAGTAACATCTTAGGCTGGCCAGATGTTGTATTTCTCTTTCCTGAATTATACTTTCACCTTCTCAGTAATACATGAAGTTTTTCATGCTCTTGTTGGTTTTGATTGATTCATTCCACGTGTTCAGTAAGCTAATTCACATCAACACCTTGTTTGGCCTTTAAAAATGAGGCTTTAGGAGGTTAGTGTTCTGAGTGTTCCACGTTTGTTTTGTTGTTGTGCCATCAAGACAATCCTGACTTAGCACAACCCTAAAGGACAGACTAGACCTGCCCCACAGGGTTTCTCAGGCTGTAGTCATGACATCTGTAAAGATACAGTTCTTAGACTTCTTCTCAAGAGCTGATACACAATTACTGAGTTATGATTATGCCAGTGATTAATCTCTTGGATTTATTTTGAGATTTGTGCACTTGAAATTAGTCTTGAAGTTGTACTTCTGTGTTTAATTTCTAAGGAATAATTCAACATATCCTGATTTCACATGGGCATCCAAAAAGTTAGTCCTTACTTGTGAATTTTATTTGTTCTTATGTACATATGGAAATGCTTTTCTTCTGTACCGTCCATTTGAGTTAACGCAGGAACTAAATGTGATGTCCCAGATCTTCATAAGTTCTTTGGGCTGACTCTTCTGTTTGGGTCGTGGTGGCAGGTGAGGAAATAGCTCGAGAAGCCAAGAAAGCGCGGAAAGTAGGTGGCCTTACTGGGAGCAGTTCTGACGATAGTGGCAGTGACTCTGAAGCCTCTGATAATGAGGAGAGTGACTATGAGAGCTCTAAAAACATGAGTTCTGGAGATGATGACGATTTCAACCCATTCAGAGATGAGTCTAGTGAGGATGATGAAGATGGTAAGTTCATCCATATAGTAAGTATAAGTTATACATTGCCCTGTATGTGAAAAAGGGTACATTTTAGTCCAGTGCAGTACAAATGGTTATGGAGATGCTAATGTTTGCTTGGTGGCGAGCTCTAGTCTTGTCTGTCTTCTGGAGATTTATAAATGTGAGATGATGGCCTCAGTCTAGCTCCTTTATTCATTTATAACTGCAGATCATGAATACAATACCTCTGAGGTGCACATGCACTGGGCCACTGTGGTTGGGATGAGCCATAGGTTATCAGTTAGTATTAGGAGAGAAATCAAGGATGGTTTCCTGTGAAGATTATGTATTGTTTTTGACAAATGGTTTGATACTTTGACTTTCAGATCCCTGGTTAATCAGAAAAGACCACAAGAAGAGCAAAGATAAAAAAAAGAAGAAAAGCATAGATCCAGATTCTATTCAAAGTGCCTTATTAGCATCAGGTCTTGGATCAAAACGACCTAGTTTTTCATCTGCTCCGGTTATTTCACCTGCTCCTAACAGTGCACCAGGTATCAGGGTGGAAGCTTGCTGTGTCTGAGAAACACACTTTTAAACAAATCAAGTATTAAAACTCTGTACTGATTTTTAACAAATGTCCTTCATCTAGCTAACAGCAACCCCAACAGTAACAGTGGCCTTATAACAAGTCAGGATGCTGTGGAAAGGGCCCAGCAGATGAAGAAAGACCTACTTGACAAACTAGAAAAATTAGCTGAAGACCTCCCTCCTAATACCCTGGATGAACTGATTGATGAACTTGGTGGCCCTGAAAATGTTGCTGAGGTAATTTGAGGCAGGGCTCTGTCTCTCCTTAACGTTTTCATTGTCACTTTTCACCCTGTGGGATGAATAGCATTTTGGGTGTCATCACATACTAATCCACTCTCTCTTAATTCCCTCTCTTAGGTCTAGACCCTTGTTTTACTGTAGTTATCTCCTACTGTCGTTCTTACTCATAGTGACTGCATGTGACAGTAGACCTGCCCCATAGGGTTTCATAGGCTATGGTCTTTATAGATCTGGGACCAGATCACCAGGTCATTTCTCCTGTGGAGTGGCTGATGCGTTTGAACCACTGAGCTTTTGCTTAGCAGCCAAGCACTTAAAGCAGTGAACCACCAGGACCCTTAGTTGTCGTTCTGGATCCAATGAATTCCTGCCCCTTTGTTCCCCTTACCCCCTCCCTATGTGTGCGTGTTGACCCAAGCCTCTGATCTTGTTACTGCTGCCTGTCATGCAGTGTTTGTGGTCGATGGTCCTCCTGTGCTTTCTCCTGGGAATGTGGACTTCAGTAGTCTCTTCCCACCCGGCCTGGTACAGCCCGGGCTGCTCAGTCAGCGCTCGCTTTATTCGGTCCCCCGACTCCCACCCACTGTCTCTCCTGAAGCTGTCAGTGAGCTACCTGCACCTTTGTCCTGCGCTCTTGACTGTTCACGACACTGTTTGGTTTTCCAGATGACAGGCCGCAAGGGGCGGGTCGTGAGTAATGATGATGGAAGCATATCCTACGAGTCAAGGTCTGAACTTGATGTGCCTGTAGAAATACTAAATATCACGGAAAAACAGAGGTTTATGGATGGAGATAAGGTATGTTTTGGGGGGATGCTTGCCAATGAAAATACCAGTATATTTAGATAAACCTGTAGAAGGTTTACATTTTTGCTTTTAATAGAACTCATATCTGTTGAATGTTGTTACACTCTGGGTTTTTTTTTTTTTTTCCTTCCCAGTAATTGCACATAATGACTGAACGTTTTTACATATTTCCATTATTTTATCATAAATTGAATAGTGTTTTGTATGGTGGCTCTTGTTAGCTTTAAAATCTTTTAATCAGAGTACAGTCAAACCTGTAAGCTGAAACTTGATGGGACTGACTGCCTTTTTTCCCGAGGTTCACGAGTTTTCCACCTTGAACAAGGGTGCAGTCTTAGCACTTTGTCTCTCTGTGTTAGTGGGAAATGTTTGGGCTTTCTTGCTTTGTAAAAATACCATTCTTTCAGGTCACCTTGGGGGCATGGTATCTCAGCTCACACTCTCCAATTTAATTCTGAGCCTTGATGCTATGTGGTAGTGGCCACATGTCAGTGTCCTTGGGGCTGCTGCTTCTTCTAGTCATGCCATGTTGCAGTCAGGTTTTTGTAGGTGGGCCTCTGTGACCACTGGAGAACTTTTGGTGCCTCCAGAGACTTTCTCAGTAGACTCTTGGTAAACTTCATGAAAGATAATGGTTCTTAACCCTGCTTCTTCCTTCTCTGATGGATTGCTATAACCATTTACTGAGGGCATTGTTAAAAAGTCGTTAGCAGTGCCTCTTCCATTTTAATTCCTTAAGCTAAAAGAGGGAGGATAAAATCTTTATTTTTACCCATGTTTTGCTTCAGTAAATTTTTCTGCTTTAAAACTTGAGAATAGATAATTACCAATATCAAAGTTGTCTTTTAAAAATATATTTAGAAGCTTCCTAGTGTTACTTAGTTTAGAAGTTGTAGATAGGGGATGTTATTTATTTCATGGACCTGTTTCCTTAATTTAGGCCTGCATGCATTAGGAGTTGTATTAGGTATTAGGTAACTTTTGACTGGTAAGTGTGAGAAACTCTAAAGTCATTGGCATAAACAACGTAGAAACTTACTTCTCTCAGTACAGGTTTGGGTAGGTAGCCCAGGGCGGGCTGGGACTCCAGACACCCAGGCCTCTGCAGTCTTATTCCTGTCATGTGTTGCATTCCCTGCTTCTAAGTTACCTCTGCATCTCAGCCAGTGGGGAGGAGCGAGGGGGCGGGGCAGAAAGGCATACCCTCCACTTTTCAGGACATTTCCTGGATATTGCACTTCCCACTCCCCACCCACTGGTTGGTGCATGTGCCCACATGCCCACATTTAGCTACAAAAAGGACTGGGAAATAGACTCTTGATTCTGGGTACCCATGTACCCAGATACAATTGAGGGGTATATTATTTAGGAAGAAAGAGTTTCATTGAAGGTACTGCTTTGCTTTATCCTTGGATGGGGTGACTCTCTTTTCTTGTGTTTGATACAGAATATTGCTATTATCTCAGAAGCTGCCAGCTCAGGTATTTCATTACAAGCCGATCGGAGAGCTAAAAATCAAAGGCGAAGAGTTCATATGACTTTGGAATTACCCTGGAGTGCTGATAGGGCAATTCAACAATTTGGTAAGATCTTACAGGGTTTTATTTAAATAGGTAATGGAGAATTAGTGGGGAAATGTGTGTATGTCAAAAACTGCATTTAATCTCAAGATGTCTCTTGTGGCTTTTGGAGATGTTTAAGGTGTATTGCATGTACCTTTGTGTTTAATCATTTGTCATGAACTCCTTGGAGGTGACATCATTGTAAACCTATAGGACACACAAGGTCCATTTCAGAGCCGCTGTCATTTCTGTATCTTGTCGACCCCTCTGTGATTTCATGGAGGACACTTCCTCCTCCCTTCCCTTCTGGCTCCCTGTCCCTGTGATCCAGAGTAATTTAAAAAACAACCATTGTGGCAGAATCCAGAGTAGCTGTGCGTCAGCAACACTGGTGTTACAGTATCATAACTTGTGTTACTCGCAGTTGTATGGCAACCTCTCTTCCCTCCTGGGGATTATTGCAAATGTGGATGTCATTCAGCTTACTGCTTGTGATCACGTGCCTTTCTCATCCGAGAAGTTCTTGCGTTTTTCCTCCTGTTGAAGGCTTTCTGATGACTGGCTTAGTGTTAAAGGCTAGGTAGTACTGGAGCTAGGGACACCGTGTGTTTATCTAATGAGCACAACGTTGTTACAGGACGGACTCACAGGTCAAACCAAGTCACTGCTCCCGAATATGTCTTTCTGATTTCTGAATTGGCAGGAGAACAGAGGTTTGCATCTATTGTTGCTAAAAGACTTGAGAGTTTGGTAAGTTTTTTAAGTTATATATGTCAACAGATGGTTCTGTTGATGGGGTGAGCTGGGCCTTGATTTGGAGTTCTCTGTTTTGATAGGGGGCACTTACGCACGGTGACAGAAGAGCAACTGAGTCTAGAGATTTGAGCAGGTTCAACTTTGATAATAAGGTACACTTCATCTTTCAGTGTCTGGAAAACTTGGGGTGGAGGGAGTTTGTGGTGATAGATGTTGAATTAGACAACGTCTTCATCGTTAACATAGACCAGCAAAAAGAAAAGGTTACTGACTATTTAAAATACCACCTTCTACTATCATTTTGCTTTAAAATGGTGGTTTCCTGTAAGAGCTGGGACTTGTATGTATCCAAAATCAAACTCACTGCTGTCAAGTCAAGTCCGACTTAGCAACCCCTCCTTGGGTTTCCGAGGCAATACCACTACGGAAGTAGATTGCCCATCCTTCCTTCCGAGGAGTGCGTGGTGGGTTTGAACCACTAGGCTTCTGGTTAGCAGTCAAATGCCTTAGGCACTACGCCACCAGAGTGTACGTATCAGGCAGGAAGGAATCTTTGGTGGTCATCTGGGCAGTAGCGTCAGATTTTGATACCTCTTGTAAATTAGGAACACAATGAATACCTTTGAATGAATCGTGTGAATTCCTAGAAGTAAAGGCAATGACTCGTTTACTCAGTGTCTTAAAAACAAACAAACAAACCCACTGCCACCGAGTCAATTCTAACTCATAGTGACCCCCATTGGGTTTCCAAGGTGGTAAATCTTTACAGAAATAGGTTGCCCAGTCTTGCTTCCACGGAATGCCTGGTGAGTTTGAACCACTAACCTTCTGGTTAGCAGACATGTGCATTAGGCACTATGCTACTCAACGTCTGTTGTTGTTGTCATGTGCCGTCGAGTCGGCCCGGACTCATAGTGACTGCTCCTTGGGTTTCCGAGGCAGTATCACTACTGAAGTAGATTAGATTGCCTGACCTTCCTTTTGAGGAGTGGCTGGTGGGTTTGAACCACCAGCCTTTTGGTTAGCGGTCAGCTGCCTTAGGCACTACGCTACTAGAGCTCCCTACTCAATGTCTAGGCATTATGAAATGTGTATGTGAAGGCAAGTGGGGCCTACTGGCTCTGAGCCTGTGGTTCAGCAGTCATTTTTCTAGCATTCAGTTGGTCATGCAATGGAAGAGTGTCCAAATGCTGAAACTGGTTAAAATGTTTTTGTTTGTTTTTTTATTGCAGTATGGAAGAAATGCTTTAGAAATTGTCATGAAATCCATTGTCAATCTAGATTCTCCTATGGTGTCAGCACCTCCAGACTATCCTGGGGAATTCTTCAAAGGTAACTTGCAAAGTAATCATAGCAAAGGAAAGTGGTTACCAGGGACTGCATACTCACTGAAACCTGTGTTAGTATGTGCTGAGTTTTTGCTGCTTGTATATGTAACTTGTTTTTGTTGTTGAAAATACACACAGCAGAACATGCACCGTCCAGCAGTTTGTCCGTTATGCTTCAGTGACACTGATGTCATTCTCTGATGACATCCCTCAAGTTGTGCAACCGTTGTCACTTGCTTTGTCTGAATTATTCCTTCCTCATTAACATAACCTCATTGTTCCCTAAGGTTCCTGTCAATTCTTTCAAGTTGCTCACCGCAGACTATTAATTAAGCTAAACTGTTGTTTAGTTTATAAAGACTTCTGGGGATATTTTTGGTTTAAGGTTTAAAGGTGACCTCAGGGCAATGGTTGCAGGGTATGTGATTTGGTTTTTAGTTTTTATTTTTCTTTGGATGTAAATTGTATAAAATTTGGAAAGCAAAGGTTATTTTTTTTATATGAAACATTAGACTTATTTATGAAACACATTTCCATTGAATGGAGTACTTTTGCCCTCGGCACAAGCATGTCCTTTAATACCAGACTTCATAGGGCGGCATGGTTTGGTTAACACTAACATCACTACCAAATAGCTGAAAAGGAATTTTAATGTAAAAGAGGTAAATAATTTGTGGAGGGGTTAGTGGATAATAGAGGTGAAACAAGATTGGCCATATATTAACAGTGGGTGCAATGATGACGGCGCTGTGGTAGTACAGTGGTTAAAGTGCTTACTGGCGAACCAAAAGTTGGGCATTTTGAATCCACCAGCTGTTCTGTGGGAAAAAACTGAGGCAATCTGTTTCTGTTAAAATATACAGCCTTGGAAACCCTATGGGGACAATTTTTCTCCGTCCTTTAGGGTCTCTGAGTCGCAATCAACGCAGTGGCAGTGGGTTTGGGTTTTTTTTGGTTTTTGAACAACTGGTTTGTGGGCACAAGTGATTCATTAAAAGATCTTTGTGTGTGTGTGTGTGTAAGTTACTGTGTTTTATATATATATATATATATATATATATATATATCATAGATAATATTTGAGATAGTCTCAGGTGCTTATCACAGATCTGTAGAACAGATTTTACCTGTAAAGGTAAGTAGTATGGGTAATTTTAGTCGTTTAAGAAACTATGGAAGTAGTTTGTAAAAATAAATAGGTGAAGATACTTGAAACATCATTATGTGGAGTTAGCATTTTTCACTAGAAATATTTTTCCAGTTGAATGGATTTTTAGTGTTGGTATCAGTCGATGTATATATCCCAGTCAGGGGAGCTGAGGATCGCTGATGTTGTTGTTGTTGTTGTTATGTGCCGTCGAGTCGGCCCCGACTCATAGCGACCCCTCCTTGGGTTTCCGAGGCAGTATCACTACGGAAGTAGGAATGCCCAACCTTCCTTCTGAGGAGTGGCTGGTGGGTTTGAACCGCCAGCCTTCTGGTTAGCAGTCAAGTGCTTTAGCCACTATGCTACCAGAGCTCCCGCTGATAGCATTTTAAAAAACTAAAAAACGTTTGCCTTACTCCCTTACATCCTTAGTCTGTAAGACCAGCTTGGAGCCTGAAGGCTAGTATTTTCTAAGAGCTCCATAAACTCTCCTCTTAGTAACATAATTCAGAACATGGTGACTTTACACATAGTGCTTCATCTTTTAAATCACTTTGCCAATAGGTGATGTGTGGGAAGGATCTATGGTTACGATCTTATTTATACAAGTATTTAATCAGCTTGCATTCTGCTAGATGCTCAAAATTGTTTTTGGAGGACAATAGCGGGAGCCTGGTGGCACAGTGGTTAAAACTCTTCAGCCATTAACCAAAAGGTCAGTGGTTTGAACCCACAAGCCACTCCATGGGAGAAAGATGTGGCAATTTGCTTTCGTAAATAGAGACAGTCTTGGAAACCCTATAGGGCAATTTTGTTCTGTCCCCTGAGGTTGTTATGAGGTCACTTAACTGGGCAGCAGTGGGTTTTAAGTTTGGGTGATGAGTAGACAGGTCTGTACTGCCAAGAATCATGTTGGAAAGGTACTGATTATCAAAGCATAGTGTGAGCTTTGAGCACTGTAAGATTTTGGGGTGCTGAGAGGCCTTTAGGAGCCATGGGGGTCCTGTAAATCCAGCTAACAGAAACGAGAGGATGCACAGGCTGTGTGTTAGGCTAGAATTTGATCTAGTGTGATTAGCCAAGTAACAGCTCTTGGAGTCTTTGGAGTTTCAAGATTTTAATAGTATGTTTTCTTTTAGATGTTCGACAAGGACTGATTGGTGTTGGCCTAATCAATGTAGAAGATCGCTCAGGAATTCTTACTCTTGATAAAGGTAATACCATTAATGTTGTCTGTACACATAATTGTTGCTGTATGATTAAAGTTTGTTTTATTTTTTATGCTTTTGGTAGCTTGAAGGGGAATCTTCAGGAGAATACTTTTTGTTTTTTAAATTAAAAAAAAAAATTTTTTTCCAATTGATTCCTACTTGTAGCAACCCTGCAGGACAGATTAGAAGTACCCCAGGGGGTTTCCAAGTCTGTAAATCTTAATAGACTTTTTTTTTTAAACAGAAAAATTGTTTAGAAAGTACAGAGATTTCTCATATACCCCCTCTGCCTGCTTGGTGTTTGTCCAGTTAACATCTTGCATTCCTGTGGTACACGTGTTACACGCATGAAGCAATATTGCTACAGTATTTTAGCTAAAGTGCCCAGTTTACATTAGGGTTCACTGTTGGTTTTGTATAGTCCTAAGACGCTTATTGTCATGAGTTCATGACAGTATCATGCAGAATAGTTTCACTGCCCTGAAAAGGCCATGTAGTCTACTAACTTATCCCTCCTCTCTCTTTCCTCTGACCCCTGGCAACCACTGATCTCTTTACTCTCTCTATTTTTCCTTTTCTGGAATATTCTGTAGTTGGAATCATACAGTTATGTAGCTGTTCAGACTGGCTTTTTTTGCTTGGCAATGCACACATCAGATTCCTCCATGAAAAGATCATGGCTTGATCACTGTTTCCTTTTAATCGCTGAGTGATACTCTTTTGTGTAGATGTAACACAGTCTATCATTCACCTGTTGAAGAACATCTTGGTTGCTTATGACTTTTGGCAATTATGAAGAAAGCTGTTACAAACATTAATGTACAGGCTTTTATGTAGACACATTTTCATTTGGGTAAATGAATTGTAGTAAAATACGTATAACACAATTGGACATTTTAACTGTTTAAATGTTCGTTTCAGTGACATTAATTATAGACACATTGTTGTGCAACTGTCACTACCATTTTCTTTCTGAAACAGTTTCGTCTCTCCAGAAAGAGACCTCGTACCATTAAACAAGAACATAATCTCCCCTTCCCTACCCCCTGGCAACCACTAACCTGCTTTCCTTGTGTAGATTTGCCTTTTCTAGATAGTTCATGTAAGTGGAATCATGGAGTATTTGTCCTTCTGTGTGTGAATTATTTCACGCAGAGTAATGTTTTTAGGGTTGATCCATGTTGCAGCATGTATCACAGTTTCATTTCTCTTAGGGCTGAATAACAACATTCCATTGTATTCATATATTGCATTTTCTTTATGCATTCATCTGTTGTGTTCATACTTTAGGTAAGTGAAGTTGGAAAGACAAAAATTTATTTCCGTCAACATCTGTTGAGCATGTACTATATGATTGTGATGCTTCAGGGAGTAGAAATTGGGTAAATTACAGCCCTGTTCTAGGAGCACTGTGTGAGTTGTCAGGGAAGGATTAGGAAAAAGGAGGACTTGAACTAGGCCCATGTGAATAAAACATGTTAATTACTACATGAATGCATTAAATCTTTAATACAGTCTTGTCGTTGCAGATTATAACAACATAGGAAAATTCTTGAACAGAATTTTGGGCATGGAAGTCCATCAGCAGAATGCCTTGTTTCAGTATTTTGCGGACACACTCACTGCAGTTGTTCAAAATGCCAAAAAGAATGGAAGATACGATATGGGCATCTTAGGTAAGTGGAGGGACTGTCAAAATGTGTGGTGTGTTCCTAATTAAAAAGTTCTTACACTTACATGTTGCCTTTTCTTGTTCAAGATCTTGGTTCTGGAGATGAAAAGGTGAGGAAAAGTGATGTTAAGAAGTTTTTGACTCCGGGATATTCAACCTCTGGCCACGTGGAATTATACACTGTGAGTTTTATTTTCTGAAACTTCAAGTCTAATGTCCTCTGATGACAGCTGCTCAACTGAACTTAAATTCGTTGTTTTACAGATTAGTGTAGAGAGGGGGATGTCCTGGGAAGAAGCTACCAAAATTTGGGCTGAGCTGACAGGACCAGATGATGGCTTTTACTTGTCGTTGCAGGTATAGCCTGTTTCCTTTGAATATAATCTGTTTGCAGTGCCATGCTTTTTCATATCCTGCATGGAAATTATCTTTTTGCTTTGTGCCAATTATCCAACTGTGTTTCTTTTTTCCTACTTTGATAATCTATTAATGATTGTGGGTTTGTTCGTTTATAGACTTTTTACTTAATATATCGTGGACACTATTAGATGCGTGCAAGTTTAGAAATGTTACATAGCCTTGTAAATGGAACTTATTTTCCATATTAAATCAACCTTGTTTAGTCCTAATGTTTGATGTCTTTAAAATCTCATTTATCCATTACTGGTATAACCACATTCTGTTGGTTTGTACAGAAGTAAGGAGGGCAAAGAGTGTGTCTGGATTTTCACTTGGTCTGCACAGGGTGATAGTTATTAATTTGAAATTATTGCCAGTATTTAAGCTCTGATAGATTTTTATAATTTATTTTTTGTTGTTGAGAATATGCACAGCAATAACATACACTGCTCCAATAGTTCTACATGTACAACTCAGTGATATTGGTTACATTCTTCGAATTGTGCAACCCTTCTCACCTCCAGCACTGGTAGATTTTGGTGAAAGTCCTCATTTCCAACTTCCCTTGAGTACCCGATGTGGTAGACCTGAACCTTTGTTCTGCACAGTGATGTGGGCCGGGTGTCTGGAATGGGGTTTAGGGGAGGGACGCTGCTCCATTCAGAGGCAGCCGTTTATCTTTGAATGGCCATAACTTGGCAGCACACGTGGCTTGGCTGTGTGTTTATCACTGGGATAGCCATCGGAATGACTTCTACCCACTGTAGTGTGAAGATTTATAATTATAGTCAGTCAACCTACAGTTCTCAAGATGGACCACAGTGTGTGTTGTTACAGTGCTTTAAACAAGGCTCCTTAAAAAAAGTACAACAAGCTATTGGATATTTTACATCAGTGGTTAAAAATTTTTTCATGTAACCTTCAGCTTAATGGTTGTTCTGTGATTTGCACAGTAATTATATAAATAGTGTGTCAAAACACTTGAAACAAATAAGGTAGGATCTTTAATGTCCATGAAGGAAAAAAAGTAAAACGTTAAGTCTGTCTTTTTAATTTTAATCATTGTGAACATTATCTTAATTGAGAAAGTTGGTGGTTCTGTGAACAGTGTCTTACTGTGTGAAGGAGCTGGGAAAATATCTTTGCTTGGAAATGTTTCTTTTCCTTCAGTTTTTTTTCCAGAGATGATTGCTTAGAAGCTATTCACTCTCCTTTAAGGGAGAAGCTAATTTTCTCCTCTTATTCTTGGGGGAGCTCTTTTTAATTCCTTTTCCTTAGGACTTCTCTGATAGGTTCACAATTTAAAAACACTAAAAGCACGTGCTTCAGTCCCCTTGTTTCCCTCAGGCATGCCTTCCTGCCCTGTCTGCATGCTCAGCTCTGTGAGCTGTTCAGCACCTGCACATTCTGCTGCCACGGCTTCACTGCTCACGGAGCACTCTTTGCCCTGGGGCTTCACTTCACCCTGGCCACGGTCCCTGAAAGTGAGCACAGGGCACACCGAGGCGCCTGATTCAGAGCGTTGACCACCAGGGTCAGGACGAGGCTAAATCTCACGGAACCTGGCATTTCTTCCCACATTTTATTATGAACACTTTGAAGCAACAGCAGTGGGGAAAGGGTTGCTGGAAGCGCCCTGTGCCTGCAGCCTGCATTCTGCTGTCCCGTTTTATCACATGCCTGTCACGCGTGCATGTGGCTGCTCGGGCTATGGTCCCAGGTGCAGGGAGTAGCAGGGCTCAGTGGTCTCTACCGGCCTTTGTGCTTTAACGCAGAGGCAGGGATTTTCTTAGGAATACCCATGTCCTCCTGGCTTGGCCCACCTCAGAATTAAGGCTCAATTGCCACCTCTTGGTGTTGTGGCTTTGTTAAACTTGTTCTACAAGTGATTGGTACCCTTTCTGGAAGTTCATGGCCTTGTTAGGTGTTACGCTTTCAGAGGGGGTAGGTGCTGCTGGTGGGATGGGACGAAGATGAATGTCTTAAAGTGGGCAGCATCTAACCATCATATTTATTTGTTTATTTGTTTGTTTGTTTGTGTATATATATGTAGATAAGGAACAACAAGAAAACTGCCATCTTAGTGAAAGAAGTGAACCCAAAGAAGAAACTCTTCCTGGTGCATAGACCGAATACTGGGAAACAGCTCAAATTGGAAACTCACTCTGATCTGAAAAAGAAATATAAGAAGGTATTTTCTCCTCTGTACCTTATACTGTATATGAGAAGTTGCTTTATAATGAAACACTGAAACTATGTTTAAAAGAACTTTGTGTCTACATAGAAAATTATCTTGCCAATTTTTTCTATTTGGTCATATTTGAAGGATAAAAATGTTTTCAGGAAAAAATGTATCAGATTTTCTTCCATTAATATCCCTGTCTTACTGAGAGATCAGTTGTTAAGATCCTCGTGGGATGGTTATTTGAGACATTGTAAATTGTCAGAAAAGAAAGCCTCCAGTGTAAACTAGAAACGTGAGAATATTTGAAATAAAGGGAAGATGTCCCAGACTGAAATCCCCTCCCCTGAACTCTGTTGTGAACATGCAGTTATATTTATAATTCTCAGTAATTTCTAAACCAGCATCAAAGGTCAGTTTTTCTGTGCAGGGATGATTTTAATTTGGCTGCCTCTGGAGAATTTTAGAGATCAGATTAGATAAGCAGTTTGTTTAAAGCGATACCATGGCAGTGAAATCTGTGTTATTTTTACAGGTCGTCTCTGATGATGCCCTGGTGCACTGGTTAGACCAATATAACTCATCTGCAGACACTTGTACCCATGCCTATTGGTTAGTATTGGCAAGTTGCTCACATATTTTCCAACATATAATCAACTTTAACTTATAAGTAAAGGAACAGAGTAACTGGTGTTCAGGCATGGTTCATCCGACCAGATACACTGATTGGACCTCTGAGGACCAGACACTTGTCTAGGAAGCCCCTCTCTGCTCGTCAGCGAGGCTTCGTTATTCGCAGCCAATGTTACCTGCAGTACAGACTTAATTGTTTGTCGTCGTTAGTGTTAAAACTTGCTTTTTTCCTTCCCTCTTTCCCTTCCTTTCTATGTCTCCCTCCTCTCCTTTTTTCTTATCTTTTTTTTTAAAAAACAGCATTACTGTTACCACCAGGTCAGTTTTATTTTTAAAGCTAAGGAACTTGTGAGATGCCATGGAGATGGCTAAGTAGCTACACAGTCCCAGAAAACGTTCTGCCGTCTTGGAGCTGGTTGCCCTGTGGTCAAGGGTTACCGGAGACATGGGCTTCTAGTCTTCAGACACCCCCTGGGGCATGTGCTTCAGCATCTGCTGGAAAGTGTCCGCAGTCTGCGGGTTGTAGGGTGGAATCACTCGTGGATGTTCTTGCACCTATTAAAGAGTTAATGTTTTGGGGTACCTACTTTGGGAAAGGGTGATAGGGTGCATACAAATGGATTTTGTCATCCTCATGCAGGTAGATACCTTTGTTGGTTCTAAGCACTGTTTCTTAATTGGTTTGCCATTGAAAATTAGGAAAAACCTTTAAGGTAAAATATTTCAAAAGCTAACCTACAGAAGTCTTCTAAAGCATTTATATTGAAGTTTTAGCAAGAAAAGTATATGTAGATTGTATTACGAAACTCATCTTGAATTAGTACTGTGAAGACACTTTTATTGATGATTTGTGAAAATGATTTTAACCATAAATACAGATGTATTAGTATACTGATAAGTTAGACCTTTTTTTCGTTTCTTTTAAATTTATGTATGGTCTCATTTTTGTTTGTTTGCTGGAGTCTTTCTTGCTAATCTGATTAAAGAACAGTATACTGAGAGCTTAATAAGGTAGAAATAGGCAGTATCATTTCATAAGCTTGTGTTCATACAGGATAATGGATATTAAAAGGGCTAAAATGCTTAAGTGAATAACAAAACTAGGAGATAAACCCTTTTCACAGGCAGTCAGGACCCAGCAATAATTATCATTTTAAAAATCAGTAGTTACACCTTGAATTCAAAAGGAGAATCCGATATGCCAGAGGATTCTAATCCAATTAAAAAAAATAGTCACTTAATAAAGGCAGATAGTGTGCTAGGATATTTTCCATTTCAAATTTGGGTAGACCTTGTGACCTTGTTAGGAATATGTGTGTGTGTGTGTGTATACATACATACGTGTGTGTGGGTGTATACACATATGTTCCCCACCCCAACTCCCTTGTCTGTTCTAGGCGTGGCAATTGCAAAAAAGCAAGCTTGGGATTAGTATGTGAGATAGGTCTTCGCTGCCGCACATACTATGTGTTATGTGGCTCTGTCCTGAGCGTGTGGACGAAAGTCGAGGGCGTTCTAGCATCTGTCAGCGGCACAAACGTCAAGATGCAGATCGTTCGACTAAGGACAGAGGACGGACAGCGAATCGTAGGTGAGTCTAATTGTTGTTTTGTTTTGAGTTTTGGGGAAAAATCAGATCCTGCTTCCTTCTCATTTTGCTGCTAACGATTCGAGCAGTGGGTGTGGAGCTTCAAAGATTGCCTGGAAGCTGAGCCTTGGCACTATGGGCCGTCTGAAGTTAAGCCGTGGTTGGGTGTCTCACGCAGCCCTCAGCTGCTCTTGCTCCCCTGCCTCACCGTTGCTGCCTGTGCAGGCTCTCTGGAGTGAAGACTCAGCCCCGCCTCTTGCCCAGGAAGCTCCCAAGTGTATTCCGACAGCCCTGAAGCCACACTGAGATGGCACAGCAGAGGCCGGTCTGGTGTCGGGCAGGGCCGAGGGCAGGCCGGCCTGACTGTCCAGCAGCAGGTTCCCAGGGTCCAGTCGACGACTGTCTTGGCCTGGCTGTTGGTCTTTGTTTCATTGGCAGCCACATCCTCTGTAGCAGGGATTGCACCTTGGCAGCCTGTGGGCCCGAGCCCATCCGTGAATGCTGTGCTTAGCCCCAAGTATTTCGGGTGGTTGTGGCTTTTCATTTAAATTAGTTGCCAGCATTTAAAAAATCAAGAGATTCACGTAGCAGTCTGGATTTCCAGCTTGTTTTAGCAAACCAGCTTGTCTGGAAAGCTGGCCTACGGCCCCCATGGCATGAGTGATATGTCCTATCCAGGGCATGTCTGCTCTGTGGTTAGCTTGTGTCTGCACTGTGCCCACAGACCACCTGCCTCAGTGAGCTTCTGAATTTGCAGCTCTTGTTTTGTAGTCCTTGGGGTGCGATTATACATGGAGAAGAAGGTGTGACGCTTGCGCAGCTTTGGGCGGCTGCAGAGGTAGGTAGTCCACAGGTAGAAAGGGGCTGCACTTGGCTTTTGAGCTCTGTCAACAAGAAGGTGGTGTGACGCATTCATGTGTGCATATGCTGGCTTGATTATTTTTGAGAAGCATTGCTGAAGAGTCAGATTATTTCTGAATGGGCCATCTGGTTTATTACGTATCCATTTAATCTGTGCGTGAGTTCACATTTGCTATATTGACTATTATGCCTGGTTTGGGATTTGCTATGAAGTTGTAAGATGCGTTGTGGCCTCTCCTGGATGCAACTTCACACATTCTTGTTACTAACTGCAGGTTTGATCATTCCGGCCAATTGTGTGTCTCCTCTCATAAATCTCCTGTCAACTTCAGACCAGTCTCAACAGCTTGCGGTCCAACGGAAACAGCTATGGCAGCAGCATCACCCGCAGAGCATCACCAACTTGAGCAATGCGTAAAGAGCAGACAGGTCTCCACATGCTGGTGAAGCATATCATTTGCATAAAAATCAGGGACAGTTTCCAAAGAATTATAATTTTTTTTTCAGTTGCGCGCGCGCGCTTTCTCTCTCTCTCTCTCTCTCTCTCTCTCGTTAAAATTTTTGGGAATAAGGACAAGCCTGGAATAGATAGCAGAACTGAAATCAGCAGTGCCGACGGTGGTACATCTGTCTTTCCTTTTGCTTTTCCCGTGGTACTCCCCATTCGCTTTTACTTTGGGTGAGCAGAGGGGTGTGTGTCTGTGCCTGGTGATAATCCATTTGTTTGTTTGTGAGTTTGTCAGAGGCTACGGGCTACAAACTACAATTGGGTTAAGATGCTTAGAATTTCCCAAACTGGCTTTACTTTGATGTTCTACAGTGCTCAGGGTTAATGCAGTACATCCATGCCATTGCTGGGGTTCTCCCTGGATGCATGTATTTTGAGTCTATAAATATAGAGAAAATATATATTGGTTTCTTTCCTTAACTCCTTAGACAGTAGGTTTATTATAGCATGAAACGAAGGTTGCATATCATGCATTCGGGTTCTTTTCTAGTTTTTGTTCTGACATTGCATGTCTTTGAAAGCATGCACAAACAAAATTAGCCAGAAGTCAAGTGACAGAGAGAAGGGGATTTGTAGATGTACAGCATTGGTAATCGCGTTTTTATAGTGTTTATACCTGGGTATTGCTTCTGAACTGCGAGCTCCTCTCCCTCCCCTAGTTTTCTCAAGGTATTGCGTACATAGTGTGTGTGAGAGAGAGAGACAGAGAGAGAGAGAATGTGTGTGTGAGGTAAGATTCTGAAAAGTTCATTTTAGTGTATTGATAGTATTCCTAATGTGTGCTGCAAAAATGGCTACAAGCCTGTTTTTCTTAAAATTACATTTTCTTTAACTTAAAGATAGTTTTAGAAAGAAGTACATATTGGCCTCCATCTCGCAAACAGTCTTTTTTTTGCATCATTCTCTTGCTATGCTCTGTCATTCATGAAAGGAAACCCTACTTGAGTTGTAAACGAGACGACGAGGAAACACTTGAGGCTTCTGCTGTATGTTTTTCTTTTTGTTGTTGTTGTCGTTACTCAGTAACTTGAATATTGTTTATTGTGTTGTAAGACATTGTAGAGTTTATCTCAAACTGTTAAAAAAAAATGGTTATGTACAAATGTGAATAGACACTTACCTGTAATATGGGTGAGCTTTGTTTCGCCTCTAATAGATGTTTATAAACAAGTTGAGGGGACAGTTGGTCTTTTTGTTTCCTTTTTCTTTTTATTATTATTATTATTTTATTATTTTTTTGCTTGCACAGGTTGCACTATTGACAAATTGAGATTGTATAATAAACCTGGTCAAAAGCTGCAAGATGCCAAAATCTTGTAGATGTCAAATAAAAAGTTATTATACTGACAAGAAGTGGACTCTTGCTTAGGCCCTCACCATGTTCAGCTGCAGTCTGATGGGGATCTGCAGGACTTGCGTGTTGCCTCAGCATTCCAGGTAGCCTTAAATGTTGGCTTCACACCTACCTCTACGTGTAGAGATGGTGTTGAGGAAGGGGTAAAGTGATGGACTTCTGAATGTTTTTCAAGTTGAGTTATTCTTGTTTGTAACTTTTTTTTTTACAATTTGCCCAGAACCAGATGAAGGGTATAGGTTCAGTGATAGGAACCTGGTGGAGCTATCAGCCCCGTCACCCTCCTCTCTAAGCCTGCATTTAGTTAGGGCAAGCTTACCGTAAGTCTTCCTTTGGATCTGTTTATGCTTGGTGCCTAAGCAAATCCATAGTTTCTGTTCCTTGGCACATTTTGCCCAGTGGATGCAGCTTCCCCCTTGGTCCAGTCCGTGTGTCTCAGGCAGTGATCCCGATGGGTATCAACCAGCAGCTGAGAGCAGAGATGTTCCTTTCAGCTCAGCAAGACTCCTCCATTAGTGCTCCTGCTATTAACTGCTAGCCCAGCCCACTTCCATAAGCAAACTAAGGTGAACCGAAACTGGGGAAGGCAAACGGAACAGACCTGTACCCTCCAGGGGAGGAAGGGCAGGGCCTGGGCAAATGCGCGCTCTCAGGCTGTTGGCCCAACTTGCTCATTGTGGCATGGCGGCAGGCTCTTAGGAGGTTTCGGAGGATTTTGGTGCTGTTTCTTTATTACTGTTTTCCGATTTTTTTTTTTTTTTTACTAGGCAGAATCATTGGGAGGGATTTTTAGCCTGCAGTTAATTGGCCCCATCAGTTGATGGCATGTTTGCTTTTGGAATAGCCATCTTGATAAGGGGCATGTAGGTGTTCTGTTCTTTCTAAAACTGATTAAAACAATAATAAGGTGCAGAATGGCTTGGGAAACTCTCAAGGTCCACTCAAGAAGGTAGCCAATGTAAATGGTGGCAGGTGGCCTGTTAGCAACAGATCCTAGTGCCTGCCCCTCTCTGAGATGAGAATGTGACCTTCACACTGTGTCCATCTTAAAAATCAGCAAGTGCAAGTTGGCCACCATGGGAGAGAGCCCCAGCATCTGAGATCCTTCTCTTTCAGAAACTCAAGTCTTAACACAGCTCACTCTTATAAAATTCGTCCATTTACTTGAGGACCGGAATGCCATGACTGAACCCAAGGGGCCTTGTTTAGCCTGTTGTGAGTCCACTTGGCTCCTGCAATGTCCTTGTTCCCGTTATAGCAATACAGTTCTGAGCACACAGATCTGACTAGACCATGTGGGTGTTTCAGAGTTTACAGTGTCGATTCTACTGAAAACCACTTCCAGAGTCCAGAACTGCTCAGATGTTCTCTCTTGGGAAATTTGTTTTCCTCCAATGTAGCCACCTCCACGCCAGCAGGTCTCCGTATCTGCAGTTCAGCAGTGCTCTCCAGATGTGTTGTCAATGAGTATTCATGAAAGTATTAACAAAGTATTTCCTTCGTCTTGATCAAAAAAGTAGGTACATTGAGTGACCAATGTCACTTTCTACTGCTAGACTGCAGATACACGCTTCCGTGTCCTTACATCTGTGTATGAATGATCAAGACCTGCATCCAGAGCCAGCTAGTGATAGACAAATAAGTTTATTCTGACCCAGTTAATCAGCACTTCAGAAACCTTTCTGAGTTGTAACAATGAATCTTCTCATTTTAGTTTCTTCATCTTCAAGGTAGATGTTGTTGGTGACCCGGCTCCAGGGGCGCCCAACATTAGGCTTAGTTTTCTGCCCAGGACGCCCACTTGGGCACTCATTTGCCAGTCTTGGTGTGGTTGTGTTAGGCCAGCTTCTGACGGGCAAGAGAAGAAAGGGCACCCACCATTTACAGGTGTCCTGGGAGGGACCCTGCCCTCATCCCCATCACTTTCTGGTTTAGTGTGAGGGAACAAGCCCCCTGATGAGAACCAGTGGCTGCGTCTCAGTGGGGGAGTGGAGGGGCCGACAACGGAAAGGCCCTGCCCCCTGGGTCGTTTTTCCTGGTGAGGCGCTGAGAGGAGGTTCCTTCCAAGTGCTCCCATTTTGAAAAGTGGACCTGAGTGCGCCTTGCTACTTGCCCAGGATGGTGCTGCGTGAGTCTCTGGTAAGCTGGGACTAGTTAGGGGGCTCGGTTAGCGTGGCTCCCCAGTGCCAGTGTGCCGAGGGCACTTGTTGGCTCCCCTTCCTTGTGCCTGGTCTCCCCAGCTTACCCACACCTGTGCACACGTGTGTATGCACATTTTGCTGCTGAAACGTTGGAAGCATTCCATGTGGTGGCCAGAGCCGAGAGCAAACTGTTTCCCACTGGCTCCCAGTTGTCTAATGAGAACTGTGGAGTCTTGTAAGGACACCTTAGTGCAGAGCACTCGTCTGGATACCTGCCTCTTGATCCAGCTAGCAAGGGGCCTTGACGGGAAGCCCAAACCCGGCCCTAATGTTTGTGGACTTAATGGGTGTACATAGTGTGGAGTTCTTCTGACTTCTGAATGTAAATATTTCTTGTACATTGAGACCCACCTGCTTGGTCTTCCCCTCTTCCCTCCTCCTCTCGACTATTTATTCTTTCTTGGACTTGTGTACACAGCATCCCTTTGATAGAGAAAAACGTGTGCAGATCTTAGTTAAGTGTGCGCATCCTTTTTGGAGTTCAGTTTTGCATCTTTACTGTAGATGCTTATGTTTTGTGTCAGTATTTTTCCGCATGCCTGGTTGTGTTGCGTTTTTATTACAGATTTTCACTGTGTGATGCATTGTATGAGGGATGTACTTGAGTGCCGTTCTGATACTGTCATTACATGACTAGTTAAGCTCGTTTCTGTTGCTCCTTGAAAGCTAAAGTGAGCCTGATGTTTTCATATTTTCTTTAAAAAAAAAGAAAAAAAAGCTCCCCGAGACCCTTCGAGCTCCTCTAACTTCTTCAGTGCGTTTGGGATCAAGCTTAGTTCTTCAGTAAAAAGGGGACATGCTCCTCCCCTGCAGTCTGTGATGCCCACCCCAAGCCCCTCCTCTGTGGTGCGCCACTTAGTGGGAACATCTTGGCAGCCGTGATGCGGTGATGGGTGGCCTGCTGCTGCCTCAGATCTCTGCATTCCTGAAGAAACTGGCCTTAGACTTTTAACCCACAGATAAGCAGACATCAGCTCTGTGACTGAACACAGGTCACTGCTTCTTTTGTGCTCTGTTCAAAGGATATTAACCAGACAGAGGGATAGGCCTGGTGCAGGCTGGTGTCCACCCTGACAGCTGAGGTTGGAGAATGTTCATTAAGAAACAGTCATTCTCCCATCACAGCTGCTGGGGTGGCTCAGTTCTGCACTGGAGGGTGAAGGACACAGTGAACTGAGCGACATCCCCTGGGCTGCTCGCCCACTGGATCAGCCATGAACCTGTGAGCCGCGCTGGGCTGAGGCCTTCTGCCCCCTCCCTGCCTCTTTACCTGTAAGGTTAGTGCTGGCAGCAGGGAGGACCCCGCAGTGTCTCGTAATCATGGTGGTCATGCGCACCCCAGAGGCAGGCGCTTG